AAATCCACCTTCCTTTCCTCTTCTGAGCTTCTGGTGGCTGTGGTTGTGGTTGCTGGCCATTCTTGGTTTGTGGTTGCATCACTCCAGTCTCTGCCTCCAACATCACATGGCCTCCTCCTCTCTGAGTGCACCTGTGCATCCCCTCTCTCCTTTTCTCTTCTTAATGAGATAGGGTCTCATACATGGTCCAAGCTGGCTCTGAACTCCTGGGCTCAAGCTATCTTCCTGCTTCAGCCTCCCCAGTGGCTGGGACCACAGGTGTGCCCACCATGTCTGACATCTCTCCTCTTCTTATTAAGGATACCAGTCATAATGAGAGCCCACCCTAATCCTGTATGACCTCATCTTAACTCCAAAGACCCTATTTCCAAATAAGATGACACTCTTAGTTTCCAGGTAGACTGAATTTTGGGGGCCACTAATGAACCCAGTACACACATCCATCTCTTAATCACCCACACAGATGTGTTCTAGTACCTAATTACCTGGCCCATATTTTTGCTATCATTCTACAACTAAAGAACTGAAGAAAAAGAAATCCTAGGACGGGGGGCATGGCTCAAGTGGTAGAGCACTTTCCTTGCAAGGGTGAGGCCCTGAGTCCAATCCCCAGTTCTACACACACACACACACACACACACACACACACACACAAAGAAATCCTGTTCTAAAGCCCAGACTTATTTCCTATTAGTGGGAAAAAAATAAATAAATAAACTGCACTTAAGGATGCACTGGGAAACACACACACACACACACACACAGAGATCTATATAAGACTGGGGCTGTAGCTCAGTAGTAGAGCATGTGCTTACAAGGCACGAGATGATAGCAGCACAAAAAAAAAAAAAGGCTTAAAAAAGTCTTCATAGCAGAAGGAAAGGGACAATAAAAGTCAAAGACAAAACAAGCACTAGAATTTTCCAGGGTATTCTGTCACGACCCCTCAGTGGTATGCTCTCTGAGTAACTAGTGTTACAGGCATGAGCCACTGGTGCCTGGCCTAGTTTGTATTTTTAAATGCAATAACCAACTACATTCAGTCAATCTTTGACATAAAATGAGTGGTCTGAAGCATCAATTATCACTCAGTATCCCTTTTGAACAAAGGGAGTAAACACTGGGCATCAAAGGAGGCAACATCATAAACGGAGACACAGCGCCTCTCGATGGAAGCACACAGCACTTTCTAGGAAGCAGTTGTGCTAAAGAATCAAATTTGAAAACTATCAAGACTCTGGATCCAATTATCAACTTACAGAAAATACAAACGACACCAGCAGATGTGTGTGTGTGGGGTGTCAGTGGTAGATCAAGATGCATTTAGATTCCCTTTTCAAAAAACTTTAAATCAAGGCAGGTGCTGGTGGTTCATGCTTATAATCCTAGCTGAGAGGCTGAGATCTGGTTGACCTCAGCTGGAGGCCAACCCAGGCAAATAGTTTGTGAGATCTCATCTCCAAAATAACCAGAACAAAATGGGCTGGAGGTGTGGCTCAAGCAGCAGAGTGCCCTCTTTGCAAGCATGAAGTCCTGAGTTGAAACCCTAGTCCCACCAAAAAAAAAAAAAGAAACCCAAAACTTTAAATGGATTTATGAGCCATGAAAATTTGAAACTGATTTGACATTTGATGATATTAAGGACTTTTTTTATTGTTGTAACAGCTTTGAAGTTATACTTTTAAAGGGCACTTTTTAAAAAATAGGTATGTACTGAAATGTTTACGGATTAGGTAACATGATCCTTGTCATTTGCTCTGAAATATGGGAGACAATGACAAATGCAGCCAATAATATGATGGAAGGAGCCTGTGACTTGCTAGTAGGAGGTGACAGCACACGCACTTTGAAATTAAAGTCTGGCAGTTTCTTTAAAAGCTAAACATACATCTACCAAATAACCCAGCAACCCTACTCCACTCCTGAGTATCCCCCAAAAGAGATGAAGACACATAGCCCCACAAAGACTTATATGTGAGTGGTTGTAGCGGCACTATTCATAATAGCTAAAAGTGGAAACAGCCAGGCATGGTGGCACACACCTTTAATACCAGCACATGGGAGGCTGAGACAGGAGGATCACCAAGTTTGAGGCCAGCTGAGCTATACAGCAAGGCAGTGTCTCCAAAACTAATTTAAGGGCTGGAGGTGTGGCTCAAGTGATAGTGCGCCTGCCTAGCAAGCATGCAGCCCTGAGTTCAAACCTCAGTACCATCAAAAATAAATAAATAAAAGGTAGAAACAAGGACTGGAGGTGTGGCTCAAGCAGAAGAGTGCTTACTCTGCAAGTGTAAAGCCCTGAGTTCAAACTCCAGTCCTCTCCGCCACATACACACAAAGTAGAAACAACCCAAATGTCCCTCACTTGGTGAATGGCCCAGCTAAAGATGGTCTACCCATATAATGGAATAATATTTAACAATGAACAGGAACAAATTATTAATGATACAACATGCATGAACTTCAAAAATGTAAGTAAGAAACCAGGCACAAAAGACTACCTGCTGTGTGATTCCATTTTTGTGAAGTACCCAGATAGGGCAAATCTAGAGACAAAAAAGGAGATTAATTGCTGCCTAGGGCTGGAGGTGAAAATGGAAACTGTAACATAGCAAAAGGGGCTATGTTATGAAATGAAAGAAATGTCCTACAGCTGTATAGTGGTGATACTGAACACTCAGGAAATTTATCAACAATCACTGAATTGTATGCTTTAAATGATGGTTTTTAAGTATGGAAGTTACCCATGAGTGGAGCTACTTTTACAAAGTAAGGAATATGGAAAAAGGTCAAAAGAGAAGGAATGTGAGCAGACTGGGGAAACCAGAAAAATGATGGAAAATGAGAAAAGTGAACTAAAAGTGAAAGGGCTCCTCTCTAATTTAAAAAACAAGAAATGCAGGGCTGGCAATGTGGCTCAAGTGGTATAACATTCGCCTAGCAAACACAAAGCCATGAATTCAAACCCCAATTACGCCCCCACCCACCAATGATTGTATATTCCTGATATTCAGCGACCTCATCATATTATTCTTGCCAGTCTGAGTTTCTAACCTGATCATCTTATTTCTCTTAATCTCAAGCAAAGAAAGCCAATAAATGTTGCATGCCAGGGTCTCTTCAGGTGACTTTCACTTCCTTGAGTAAAAAATTAGATTATTTAAGAGAAAAGAAACACTTCCGATACTGATTATAAAGTGAGAATGACGGTGCTTACAAAGCATGTCACAAAGACAAAAACTATCAAGTAATTTAGCACAACAGGGAGAAATCAATCACCAGAATTATGCCAATTCAGTTGGCTTCTGCCATTAAGGTGGGTATACTTTTTATGTATATTACTATAGCCAACTTTTACCGAATGATGCCAGCTGTCATTTTAATTCTAAAAATGTTGAAGGACACTGGACAGGGAGCCAGGAGACACAGTACTAGTGTGCTCTCTTGCAATCTTTGTCTCTAATGCATAAGCTGTATGAACTCAGTACCTTACTTAGTCTAACACTCAGGACTGTAAACTATAAAGTTAAAGACTCTTAAAGGTCAGGGGTTCTTAACCTGGACTGATAATCCTCAGGCCCGTGGATAAGCTTCACCAAGATTATAAAGCCTCAGGAAGTACAAGAAAATTTTGTCTAGATCTCAGCCTGCACTTCTCTGAGGAGAGGTTCTGTAGCAGATTCTCAAAAGGAACCAAGTTGGGTACTGGTGGGACCTGTAATCCTAGCTACTCAGGAGGCAGAGATCAGAAGATTGTGGTTCAAAGCCAGCCCTGGGCAAACAACTCAGGAGACCCTATCTTCAAAAAAAAAAAAAAGGTCCATCACAAAAAAAGTGCTGGTGTGGAGTGGCTCAAGCAGTAAGAGTGCCTGCCTAGCAAGCATGAGGCCCTGAGTTCAAACCCCAGTGCTTCCAAAAACAGGAAAAAGGAGCCAAAATGGAGCCAAGATTCACCCATCTTCCTGTGATTAAGAACCATTTGAATCAAGATAATTCTTACTTACAAACAAAAGCTGATACCCAGGGTATGGCTATTTGGCTCTAGTCAGGTTTGGTTTTTGGTACTGGGGTCTGAATTGAGGGCCTTGGGCTTGTAGGCAGGCACTCTACCACTTGAACCACACCCCTAACCCCTCTAGCCAGGTTTTATATTTAGATTCTGTATTCTTTAAACCTATATGCACAAAGTGCAATGCTTCACGGTTAACGCAATGTGTTTTACAAGACAAACTTTGTACAATCCCACAAACTTCCTACAAAACTATAATATTATGAAAATAGCGTACGAGCTTTGGGTCATAATCTCGGATATATTAATCTGTACGTATAAACCTTAGAGGACTTTAAACTGAATTATAAAGCATGATCAGGGGATCATTCTAGGCCTATCATATCTTTTTTGTCTAGAAAGACAATGACCAGAGAGAAGAAAAGGTATGCTCCCTACTTAGGAACACATTTTTTAATGCTGGGTTTAAATTCTTACGCACTTATTGCAAGCGAGATGTGAAATTTCTCCCGGCGTTCTAGCTTTGGTCAATCCAACGAGCGCCCTAAAGCGAACGGGTAAACTGAGGCTAAGGTTCCACATACTTTCCGAGCCGCAAGGTACAAGGGCATGGAATAGCGGTGACAGCGGACGAGGGAAACTGGGACAAAAGTTGGAGGTGACAACGGAATAGAAAGAACAGGTTACTACCGGAGAGGAAGAGCCTAGGGAATCCTACAGCGATTGCGAGAGCGGCCTCCTCAGCGCTTTGGGGTTACGCCACAGTTCGGCCCCTTCCCCCCATCAGTTCCAATCTCCGTCCCCTACCAGACGACCAGGGGACCACCGCGCAACCCGTCTTGCCCCGCCATCCCACAGGACCCACCAGACTCCTCTCAGGAAGCAAGCAGGGCCGGAGGACAAGGGGTGGCCCCATTGCTCAGTCTCCCACGGGGCCCAAGTTGCTCTCAGCCCGGGGGAGTGGCCTCGGCCCAGCCCTGCCCGGCCTTACTTTGAGCGCCAGGTGGTGGACGCGACACAGGCCGGGCTCCGCCAGCAGCTGCAGTAGTCCCAGCATCGGGAGCAGCCGGAGGCCCGCGGCCAGCCGAAGGCAGCAGGAGAGCGAGGAGCCGAGAGGCACCGGGGCGGCCATCTTTGTTCCAGCATCACCAGCTGCTTCCTCTGCCGTCCACTTCCGGGGTCAAAGGGCGCGTCCTCCGGAAAGGTTCCGGGAGGGGGCATGGCTTCGGACTCCGCGGGCCTGGTGGTGATGATGATGAAGCGTGCGACCAGGAAAGACCTCCAGGGTCCTAAGCTGGCCACCTCGAGACCCTTCAGTTGTCCTCCTCTGTGCGGACTTCCGGTTTAGCCAGAGGAGGTGAAGCCCCTGTGGGGACGCCGTGTGGTTTGCCATCACAGCTTCCGACTCGCGTAGCTTTTGGAGCGAGCGACCCTGGTGCTGAGGGACCCTTGACGCCGGCTTACGCTATGGCTGCCGCAGTGCCTCGCGGTCGATTGCACCCATGTCACCCAGCGCCGACTCGATGGAAAATATCTTAGGTCCCTGGCTTGTCGTAAGGTCCCTTGGGATTTTTCCAGGCCCTTCCCACTCAAATATTAGGCGAAATTGTTAGCAGTAATAGGATTGTGGGGTGGGTGTGTGGTGTGTGTGACTGGGGTTTGAACTCAGAAGTTCGTGTTTGCAAAACAGGCGCCCTGCCACTTGAGCCACACCTCTAGCCCATTTTGCTCTGATTATTTTGGAGATGGGGGGGTCTCTGGGCTGGCACTGAACCTAAATCCTCCCGTTCTCAGCCTCCCAAGTAGCTAAGATTACAAGCATAGCCCACCGGCCCCCAGCAGTAATAGCACTGATTACTGAGTCCTTATGAAGCAATCTGCTAGGTTTCTAGTGGCATTTAATCCTTGGAACAGTCTGGTGTAGGAGGTAGATAATTATCTTTCTCCCTACTTTACAGGTCTGCAAACCAAGGCTCTGGGAAATTCAGTCATTTATTCCAGGTTTAGTTGGGAATCCCATGGAAACTTTCAACCCCCATATTACATTGCCTCATGCTATGTCATTCCACCACTATAGTCTGCGTCAACATTTTTCTCTTAATTCTGTATAGAAACTTTCCTTCTACTTCTTAGGACTTATTGGGACCTCTTCAATGGGAAGATTCAGTAGTAGGACCCCTCCTCACCTTTATCAAGGCGTTATAAAAGACCATGCTTGTTAAAATTGCCAATACTCTGCCAATTTATGTAGTCTTTAAATTCTTGTTTTTAGCTTGCTGTAGAAGTAAGGCATGCTTTTTTTTTGTGAAATCATGTAAGTAAAGGAAAAGAAAATAACTCGAGCTCTTGTGACTCACACCTGTAATCCTAGCTACTCAGGAGGCAGAGATCAGGAGGTTAGAAGCTAGCCCCAGGGAAATAGCCCTGTCTCGAAAAAATCCAACACAAGAAAAGGGTTGTTGGAGTGGCTTAAGCAGTAAGAGCGTCTGTCTAGCAAGCTTGAGGCCCTGAGTTCAAACCTCGTCACCACCACCAAAAACAAAAAAAGGAAAAAATAAACCCACCAGGAATCCCAGAACCAAGTGACTACCAATATAGTAGTATGTTTTATGACAGAATTAGATTCTTAAGTTTGTTGTTTTATTTACCTGTTTGTTTTACTAGCACTGGATTTAACTGTATTTTAATGGTACAAAAGTGCTACACTCAGGTTAAAAAATTCACTTGGGAAATGGGGGCTAGAAAGGGTCCTAGATGTTTTTTAGTTGTGTGCCATGTTGGTATTGTTGATGAATCTGGATTCTTCCCTTGACTGAAAAACCAATACAAGTTCAGTCACACAAAGACAAAAGTGGGACACTAAGGTGGGACCAGAAAGATCAGGCACTGGGACCACTGATCAGGCAAGGGAAAGGCAATGACTACTAGCCATTGACTATCCCTTTCTTCCCTAACCGCTGATCTGAATAGGTAATCTTACATATTTGAACAGGATTTTTCTCCTGATCCTACTACCACTTTTTACAGGTAAATAAACAGCAAACAGTTCTAGAATTAGTATTTTGTGAATCTACACAAGGAGATAGATATAAAATAGGTGATTAAATATGCTCAGTATTGTGTTAAATATTTTATAGACATTATCTAACATCACAAAAACCTCAAGGTACATATTTTTCTTCCTTTTGTTTTCAAATGAGGCTTGGTTAAATTAGTTTATTCAAGGACCATTTATTTATTTATTTATTTAGTCAGTACTGGGGTTTAAACTTAGGAACTCACACTTGCTACACAGGCGTTCTACCAGTTGAGCCACTCTGGCAGCGACCATTCATTTATAAAAAACCCAACTGGATCTCTCATCATCCCAGCCCTGTTCACAAAGTCCAGCACAAAATTTCTGTCTCGTGCTGTAGTACAGATCCATCCACCTTATTAACAGATACGAAAACAATTACAGGGAACTTAAACAACTTGCCCAAGATCACACAACCAGTTGGGTAATTTTTAGCCATCATCTTTAAAACCAGGAGTGGAGTCTTAGCTGCTTTGAAATTGGATCTGGACATCTTTCACTGTACTGCACATGGCTTTCTAAAACTCGTAATGCTATTAAAAAAAAAAAAAGGTCAAGCCCAGAGTCTGAGTAGCTAGGACATTATCAAATGAAATGCTAAAGAAACTGTGAGAAAGAGTTTAGAAGTCAGCTGCTGGAAGAGTGTGTGCTTAGTGTGCCTGTGACTGCAAGTTCAGTCCCTAAAACCAAAACATGAAAAATAAAAACCCAGCAATATGAAAGCATGTAATACAATTGTAAAGTAGGTGATCTTTTCTCTTAGGGAGCAAAAAGAAATACTAATGACAGTGATTCTCTCGTTTGCAACTAAACGTTAAAGGGAAAAGTGATTTTTAAGTACCTCTTTCTTTTTTTTTATTTTCATCTTGTAGTGCTGGGAATGGAACTCGAGGCCTGTGTGCTACTGCTTAGCTACATCCCAGTCCTGGTTTCTTTTGTTTGTTTTTCACTTTTAAAAGTTTAGTGCCTTTTTTTTTTTTTTTTTTTTTTTTTGTGGTGGTACAAACCACTGGGGTTTGAACTCAGGGCCTCAGACATGCTAGGCAGGTACTCTACCACCTGAGCTACTCCATTAGCCCAGTTTTAATGCCGTTTTTAAAGAATCTCTGGCTTTCGATTTGAGTCTAATACTAAAAATGTGAGTCACGCGTAGTCTTGATTCCATTTGATAATGAAATGTTAAGGTAGAAGCCGAAGACTTTTGTCTGTTCTGGAAAACAATTTTATAAGAGCTTAAATTTGATTCTTATGAGTCCTTGCTGCTTATGCTGGGGAGCTGTGATGTGATCTCCTCAGGGTCACACCAATGGTACCTGCTCAGAGCTTTGCAAGGAGTATTTCCATCACATTTCTGAGACCCGGCCATTATTTTGGAATTGGGAGGAATAAGGACCAAAAACTGGTTACAAAGTCTGTGAAAACTTGTTACAAACACTTAATATCGAATTGTTTTTAAAAAGTTACTTTTCAAATTCCAAGAAAACTCCTTTGGCAATTATATTTAGGCATGTGATTTCAGGGTTTCAAGAAAAGTCTATTTACATAATCATATGATACTGTAACGAAACAGACATGTTGAGTAACAGAACAAGTTATCCCTGCTTCTTCCTGGAGCATTTTCAAAAGGACATTAAACTTTAAGATACTGACTGAAAAGGCCTGGGAGGGCAGGAAAGACTAATGTCCTAAACCTGGCTTTGAGCCTTTCTCTCTTACACAAGTGCTTTTTATTTTTTTTTTATAACACTTATAGCAGGGGTTACTTTCAAGCTCCTCTCGCTGGGCCAGAATGGAGTGTTAGCAGCTAAGAGCTTGCCAACACTCATGTAGCACACTACCTACGCTTGTGAGTTCATCGGCCACCAGTGACCTCTACTCCTAGCGCTGCCATTGTGCACAACTCATGCATTTTATTTTCCTGTCTTCTCTAGCATTGCAGGGTCAACCAAAGGTTGCCACTAGTAGCAGAATGGGTATTTTGAACGTGGTGCTGTTGAAAATATTTTCCATCAGTTCAGAAATCTTGTAAGCAGCAAATGACTCTATTCTCTCCAGTTTTAGTAAGATATGATTGTCATTTGCTTTTCTTATCAAAGGTATTGGTATTTCAGACCAAAAACCTATAAATACATTGTAGAGAACTAGAGGCAAATTGGGGCCTGCAAGATACTGAGAAGTCAAATATCTCAAACCCCAGTCCCACAAAAAAGAAAGGAAGTAAGGAAGGAAAGAAAAGACAGATACCGGACTGGACATGGTGGCTCAGCTACTCAGGATGCAGAGATCTTAAGGATTGAGGTATTAGGCCAGCTGGGCAAAACATTAAAAAGTCCCCCATCTGAACAAACAGGCCAGGTGTGGCACATGTCTGGAGGCATAGGTATGAGAATCACAGTCTAAGGCTGGTCCACACAAAAAGGGAGACCCTCTCTGAAAAATAACTTTAAAAAGGCTGGAGGCATGGCTCAAGTGGCAAAGTGTCGGCCTAGTGAATGTGAAGCCCTTAGTTCAAACCCCAGTTTGCCAAAAACAAACAAACAAACAAACATTACTTTCACTCTTGACTTGAAGCCCCATGTCTTCCAAAAGTGCAGCTAAAGTTTTTGGGCATTTCTGAGGGCATGGAAGAAGTACTGGAGGGCATCTTTTTTGCAGGAAGTGATCCTCATGGAAAAGTCAGGTTCTGACAGGAAGGTAGGATGTCAGTACAACCCTGACACACCTTTACTCATGGGGTGGAGATGAACTTCAGAATCACTCCTCAGTCCGGGGGCACAGTATGTACCTTGCTCAGCCGTGGACAGCCAGTTCATGATTTTATGACATCTTTACAAACCTCCAGGGGAATTCAATTATCAGATATAAAAATTGGTTGCAATTTTAAGGTTGTACCATACAGTTCGTAGTTGTTCCTACTCCATCTTCTAACTGACTGCTTTCCTGGGTCCTTAGGGACAGACAGTCCCAATTTACCATGATCCAGCTTATAGTTTTCAGTTGGAATATTAAATGAATTTTTTACTTATGACATTTTCTCATTAAAATGGGCTTATAGGGACATA